TTTGACTATGGAAGTCGATAAAGTATACACGGAAGACTCGAAATTATTTTATTGAAAAGTTTCTTTTCAAAATTATATTTGTTTTTCACCACGAACGACGGCAGTTTATATTTAAAATTAATAATCTTGGTATTAGTCTCACCTCGATATAGAGTTTCCTGCTCCCATTGTCTTTTATGTTGCCTTGAATATTTCCCTTATTTGCCCAGTTTTCTTTCTATCTCTAAAAATTAAACGCACATGGCCACACAGGTCACAGAGTATGTTGGAAACTACACCAGAATTTAACGCAAATTACATATAGTATCGTTTATATAGTAAAATTACCAGTAATTTAGTGATACCCTATTGGTTGATTTTCTCAACGCTTAATAACGGTTTTCACCGTTAATATGATTTTTCCTAGAAGAAAAATCGTATCATGTAACTCATATCATTTTCGGCATTTAGCCGCAATGGATAGTGGCCTTTTTCAGGATTGATTTTTTACACGATTTCATGGGCTATTTTAAAGAAGTGCCGAGCCTTTGTCGACACATTAATATATAGTAACACGGCACAAAAGGTAATCACATCGAACCCCAAAATACAGAAACGTAATTCTATTTCAGTTGCTGGAGGGTAAATTGTTATTTTCATTGCTTGTAAATATCATAGGTTATATGTTTACCTGTAGAATATGAATAATATCTTTTATTAAAGTATACAAACTGCATATAAAGATTATAAAGATATTTGCACAAATCGAATATGATCATGCATATTGTACCGTGGATGGCCGAGTATCTAATTCTTTCTTCAACTTACAACTTTTATTCCACTCGGTACAACTTTAACTACGGAACAGGAACAAACTAACTTCTAAATTAACGTCAACTTCACAAACGATAACAATAACACACGGAAAACACGCGTTTCCGACTCCCGGAGTTTAACTTCTTCCGCACTCGGACGCTGCTGTCACTTTCACTCCCCCTGTCTGGTTCTCGTGGTCGCTTATATACTTTTCTCCAGGTATTCCAGATAGTTCTAGAAATCTCCAGAACAGGTGCGAAACTTCCCGCTTGTCAGTGTCATATTTGACAGTAAATGGGGCCCAAATGGGGCTCCCATTTACTGAAACACCATGAATTTCGTCCCCCATTCCAAACGTGAGTACCCCAGGCCATTTCCGTTACA